GTCAGGGCTCGACAGCAGCGTTTCCGGTCAGTACCCTGCACAGTTCCGAAGGTTGGAGAGGGCACCGCAGAGGGCAATGTGGACCCTTCACAGTACTGTGGAGGAAGTGCTACTGGCGGGATTAGATGCTACAAGGCAAATGACGCTAAACGACTTCATCAGGAGGTATGTTGATCCCGATTTCGTGCTAGAAGGCCGCAATGTAATGATGGGGGCGTTTATTCAGGGGCCTGAGGATTGCATCAGTGACGAACGGCTCCTACGAAGAATTCTTAATTCACCAGAGTATCAGCTCCTGGAGGACGCACGCAATCTACGTGCCGACGCACGCAATCTTGCGGTCCAAGGCGTGTCTTCTCTCGATCAATGGAAGGAATTTCCACAGAAGGACACGGCTACTCTTCTTGCAAAGGGAAAGCTTGACAGGGCCCTTGCCGTGGCGGAGGGAGAGGAAGCAAGGAAAAGACGGATGGAGGAAGGAGCACGGTTGCAAGAAGCGCGTGAGGAAGTAACCGAATTGAGAGCGGAAATCGGAAGGGTAAGAAGGGACGAAGAAAGTGGAAGGGCAAGGCTTCGAGAAGCGAATATGAGAATAGCAAGTTTTGAAGAGGAAAAAGAACGGCTAAAACGGGAGGGCGAAGACGGAAGGGCAAGGCTTCAAGAAGCGCGTGAGGAAGTAACCCAATTGAAAGCGGAAATAACACTATTGAGGGCAGAAAAAGAAGGGCTAAAGCGGGAGGAAGAAGGCGGAAGGGCAAGGCTTCAAGAAGCGCGTGAGGAAGTAACCCAATTGAAGGCGGAAATCGAAAGGGCAAAACGGGAAGCGGTCCCAGCTGCACCGGTGATTATGAAGGGCTTCTACAACTCGGTGTTCAAAGCGACGTGGAACCACGTCGTGGAGATTCCCGGGAGCGAAGAGGCGAATGAGATGGCGGCGCAAATGCAGGTGAGAGCGGGAGAACCAGAGTGCCCGTGGTGGTATAAGCGGCAGGGCATAACTGTGCTGCCAGAGAGCGATGCACAACAGTTTTTTCCACCGCGTCCCCGAATGGCGACACTCACCTCCAAGAAGGGGTGGCCTTTCTCATGGAGAAAAGGTAGACCTATTACCGACTGCTACATCACAATTGAGGTGGATCGGGTGTGGCAGATCATTCAATGCGATCTTAATGATTGGTCCAACACTGAAGGTACAACTTTTATTCTCCCAAGACGGCGTCTCTTGATTGGGACGCCGGGCATCGGGAAATCCATGAACGTTGGTTCCTACCTTCTCTACCGTCTGCTGCACCAAGACGGTACTAAACTCCAAATTGTTGCCTACTGCTTTGGGAGACATTCGGCATACGTGTTTGACAAGACCAAAAAAAAGGTGACAAAATACACAGGTGAGATCAACATTGAATTTTTTTTGACAGCCCTGTCTAGGGGTGGAGCGAAAGGATACGTTATCTACGACGTGGATAAACAGCATGATGAGCCGCCGTGTACTCTCCCGCCTACTGAATGGGGCATGATTGTGTTGTCATCCCCAAGCCTAAAAAACTATAAAGGGTGGGAGAAACAAATGGATGCACAACGGATCATCATAAATTGCCCGGACGAGAACGATGTGAAGGCGATGTGTGCCTGGGAGAAGCGTGCTGAGACCGCAGCGAAGCAATTGGAGCACTGGGAAATGGTCAAAAAACACATGGATGAAATTGGACCGGTATTACGATTCATCTTCGATGCGACTGCCTGGAAGAAACACAGTATCGCCGCTGAGGAAGGGGTGAACGCAATCAACACTTTCAATGCTGACTATTACATGGGTATTGAATTTGCGTTAGATTGGACTGAGACCCATGCGTCTCACAAGCTTGTGAAAATTGTTCGATTGGTAAGATTGGAAGAGATTGAGAGATTTTACAACGAATATCTTACTAGGTCCATTGCGAAGGATACAATGTTTAAGTTGCTGCAGGTGAGGTCGATGCCTGAAATGATGAAGTTTCTGATGCTTCGCAGGGACGCTTTACTGCCGATGGCCCTGGAGAGGCTTGGTATTATGTCATTCACCTTTGAGAGCTTTCTGGAGGCGGTAAAAAACAAATACGTGGAACTGGTTCAAGAAGGACACGAACAACAGCCCTGTGTGCTGAACCGAAACCCCCTACTGTACCCCACCAGCATTGTTAAAATACCCAAGTTGGAAGACGATGCTAAGATGTTTGATGTAAAATACAGGGAGCTGTACGTGCCAGATGCGCAAAATTTTCCGCTACTTGACGCCTTTTTCTTCCTGGAAGCAAGTCCGAGGAGGACGATGGTTGGGCTGCAGTTTACTACGGCGGCTGCGCATGACACTAAGGCCAGTAAATTGCAAAAATTCAGTGCAGGTATGGTAAAGCGTTTTATTGGCTGGGAAAATTTTGCCGAAGACTTGTCTTTGGAGATTATTTATGTGCAGCATGTTGACAGTACACCAATGCGCAGGTGGCAGGATTGTAAAGGCATCGAACGCTTGACGAGCGAAAATGATCAGACAATTGCGAAGTTGTGGAAAGACGCACATCAGTATCAGTTGACGTTATTCTATGAAGACGTTCCAAGGATCCCACTTAATCAACATTCATAGGAATAGAAGATGCGATTGGGGAAAAAACGCAGCAGTAAGCGCTTTCAGTGAGGTGTTTTATCGAATACTATTTTTTTTTAGCTTGCAACATAAATGATTGCAGTTTGTGGATGTATGCCAACAATACTTTACAAGTAATATGTGCTGAAGTTTATCGCCGTGTAGAGGGAGAGTTTGGGCAAGGCAGGGTGTGCTTTTGCAGGCTGAATGAGTTTACCAGAACTGAAAAAAGAAAGCAATGGTCTGGTGCCCAGCACCGCCCAGAAATCGTGGA